TTGTTTTATTTTATGACAGTGGTGTGTGGGTTTTGATATTAGAGATTACTTTAAATTTTGAACATTTGTTACACAACAACAACAAGTAGCAACCGAGTTTGAATATAGTTTATATTACTTCACTCAAAAAAGAATATTTTGCTGATTAAAATTTTTTGCTTATGGTCAAGTATGTTTTTCATATAAGGTGATGACCAAAGGAAATGAACATATAGATAAACGTTCGAAACGATGAAGTTTGTGAATGTATTCCTTCCTAAAAGGCCGGCAACGCGTTTGTGAGTTGCAGACGTTCATGGGCGGCGATGGTCACTTTCCATCAGGTGACCCGTCTACTCGTATACCCTCTAACATAAAAAAAAATCCTGTTGTAGAACTCTTTGCTTAAATTTACTTTGCTTATTGATAGAATTCTTCACCGGGAAAATGGTGTGTTCTTCAGTGGTAGTTCCGCCATCAAGTAAGTAGCTGAATGTTTATATTTGGCAGAGAAAACTTTTTCAATTTTCCATACAATCAACATAAATCTGCCAGCAAACTTCTGCCATCAATCTTCCAAGTTGATGTCCAAACTTTAAGTCTTCATTCTGTTTTTAACAATTTTACAATCCACAATCCAAATAAAATACAGTAAAATTTGATTTGATTATGATTTACGTAAAATGCGTGAATGTACCCGTAAATCATACATTTCACGGCCCGTGATAGTGTTTCCCTCTTTTTAAAGTAATAATAGTTGGTACAATGTTGCCATAGAATATCCCTCTACCTACCTCTTCGGGGATTTGGACGTGATTTTATGTGCATTATAATAAACATTTAATATTTTATACATTGTATTTTCATCCTGAAAGAATGAAAATAGAATGTATAAAATATTTCATAATTCTGCTTAAAATAAAAACAAAAATAAACCGATGAACATAACAAGTACCTTTTTTACTACCGCAATGGAGCGAAACGAAAATTAATTTATACCAATTATTTCAGTAAATATGTATGAGCTGGATGCGAGAAGCCCAAAATCGATCTGTGTGGCGTGCAATGGGAGAGCCCTATGTCCAGCAGTGGTCTACGGTAGGCTGATGATGATAATTTTAGTAAATTAGGAAACTTTTTCTCGTTTAAATATTCCAGTCATTTTTGTCCGTTAGCTATAGCCAATTAACTATTTTCTGATATCCAGATTAATCAATCATTAAATGAATTATTCTTTCGGGCCAAACCAAAACACCTATGAATTCCGGAGCTTGAAAATCAGGTCATTTTATTCTGCAAGCAAAGTATGATATTTGTGTTCATAAAAAGAATGTTTTAAGTATTAGCGAAGTAATATTTAAACTTGTCAGCTGTCAAGTCAAATTAGATTTTCATTAATTATTTCTTTTTGTAATATCTAAGTTGCAGATCATTTTGTTTTTTGGGGCAAACGGAGACAATGAAAGCATTGGCACGTTATGTAATGAACCTCACTCCATTTTTATGTGTCTAAAATATTGCTTTTTATGATAAATTGGAAAACACTTTACCAATAACCCTTTGTCGTGTTTATCACGTGAGCAAAATATGGAAATTCGGATTGTGAATAATGTCAAGACTGCAATGTCCAGTGATATGGTTAAGCACTCGTAGGTTCAAAGAAAGTAAATACTTGTAATATGTACCTGGAAACGGGCGATGTCTAGGAGACATTATCCATTGGGCAAATCGTTGAAACACTCCATATTCTCCAGGTCGCTTTGTGCTGAATTAGGCGACTGGAGTGAATTGACAAGGCGCCGAGTGCCAACTTTGATTGCATTTTATGGTCTCTGTTTATTTTTAAGGTTTTGTTGTGTCTTAAAAGGGAAATCTTAATTTGGTCTAGTGGTTAGTGATCCTGACTGCTAAACCGGAGGTCGTGGGTTCGATTCGACAAATATTGTGTGATAAGCACGGTCATTTGTTCTGTGTCTGGGTGTAACTTATCTATGAATTTAAAAATATATTAATATGTATATCAGCATCTGATTAACATAGTACAGGCTCTGCCTAGTTTGGGATCAAGCGACCGTGTGTAAGATGTGTGAGATATAATAGGTTAAGGTCTAATATTATGTAAGTATTAGGTAAAGACCTAGTCTTATGTTATGCTTCTTCTTATACATTTTGATGACAATCATCGGCATCAAATCTTAGTATACTGTTCTACAGCAAAACATTTTACAGTTACTGTATCAATACTAGACATCTTTATTTGTTTAATAAATATATTAAATTGGCGTCGCACGACAATATAAGCGCATGAAAATAATTGATAATTTTCTATAGTCTTAATGGACATACTGCCAGTTAGCCTTTATGAATAAAAAAATAAATAAATATACGTATGTACAAACTGCGATTTAGGTAATAAATAACATTAATCTTAATCATGTACCAGCTACTATTGGCTTGCTGGTCAGTAATTAGTTAACTATTACGATCGTATTGTTCTCCTTTGGCTTTAGCTTTCAAGAAATTACCAGTAACAAATCAGATATAGCGTGCAAGTCAGTAGTTTTAGAAGAGAATCGTGTCAGTAAAGCCATTGGTCTTATGTCCAACTTGACTCCGGTCGTGTCGGATTACCGTCAAACTGTTGGGGTATAAAAATGTAGTAACTGCATCTGAGAAATGCATACATTTACGCAAAGTAAGTATAAAGTCTTCTTCGTAATCTCAGATAAAAACGTTCTAATGGCTAAATAAAATAAGGTTATATGATATCCTAAAAATACGTCTGATTATTACTTACAAAATTTTCTTCTGTATGCTAAATACAGACCAAGAGCACACACAGCTATTCTTAAAAAGATGAGAAAGAAAACAGAGATCCAGCGAGACTTAAATGAGAAATTAAAAAAAGAATCTGTGGGCAACGGAAAAATAAATTAAGTTGAACAGAAACGACTGCAAAGGTCAGACGAATAATGATTTCAGTTTCAAAGATAAGTCTGGCATTTAATTGTTTTGGATTTGTTGAATGAAAAAAGTAATTTCATTGAAATGTTTGCCCTTATTTTTATAGATGAGTTTTATAAACGCAAATGCGCTTGCTTTTGTTCATTTGTTAGTGACGTCTTAGGTACTGAACCCATCATCCTTAAACTTTGCATGTACGTTGTCATAGTTACCATAGTGCTAGTTTGAGTTTCAGGTATGGGATCCTGACTTGTTTTTATACTGACCTTTATACCTTAACATATCGTTTCTTTCATCAAACTCCTAATGTTTCTACCTAACTTCGCACGTTTGCCCCCCGTGCCCCAGCAATCATAGTAGACTTGCCTCATATAACGTAAATCTTACCAAAATTAAAGTCAGCAAAATGTCTCTGTATACCCGTTCAGGGATATAAACGTGAATCAAAGATTTATATAATAAATCCTGAACCCAGATCCATTATATTTATAGTATATAAGTTGTACAGACTCCAAAAAATACTAACAAAGAGCACTAAAAATGAAAAAAAATTATTACAAATCCCAATAAAAAACCTAAAATATGTGCTACCCTCAATTTAACAGGTGAACATTGTAATAGCAATAGATATCTCCTAGTCTGTAAAATTGTAGGGTTTCAGGGTAAAATTTAAAAAACCGGTCCACAATTGACTTAGAAATCGCGTTACAAACATGCAAAAAAATAGGAGAACCTCCTTTTTTGTGTTTTTGAAATGGGTTCAAAACTATACATATCTACCTAGATTTTGTATACATATAATGTGTAGAATCTAGGTAGATACGTATAATTTCCCAAAGTATAGTGTCAATAAACAGGAAATTTTAAATGAATAGGTACTTAAACGATATTTTTTGGGTTCTTATATTAAGATATTGAGTAAAAGGCGGCCGTTCAATGAAATTACAACACAACATTACTTACTTGGCTATATACTGACATTTATTTGATTGATGACAGGGTAAGCAATTTATTAAGTGATGTGATTTTTTGTTCTTAAATTGAATAATTTATCAGACTTTTTATTTGTTTAAATAATAGACTGTAAATATATCTGATTGATACGAGGGCTATGTATCCAGGTTATAACCTGGGTACATACAAATACGTACATTGTGACTGCAAGGATGACGTAGTGGTTTAAGGGGTCACCTCGCAGCTTCCTAATGCGCTGAGTGTTGACGGTTTGATTCACATATCGCACCCCCGGTGCGAGACTGTCACTTATGCAAAAATGCAATTTTTCAGGAGAAGCATTTAAAACTTTAACATCTCAACAAATAATTATATTCCAAGATTTAAACAAGATAAATAGCTTATACTACAACGCCAACCTTTAACTTACTTTTGAATAAATAATGAACGGGTTATATTGTAAAAAAGATACTTTACGATTATTTTAAACTTTCCAACCCCCTCAGAAGTGACGTTGTGGCACTAACGAAAAATAATAACTGTAATTATGTCATACTGAGTCAAAACGAAAACAAGAACAAATTGTATACTTAGTTTTATTTTAAATCACAAATATGCACTGTTATTATCGTAAGAAACAAAATAAGTCAAAATTCTATAAAATATAACGAAAGAAACTTTTGTACTTCTTAACATTTCTACAGTAGTGTAGTATAATTAGAATAAAAAATCAAGTATTAATAGTGTAACAAAGAAATAACAATCTCATATAGGACAAAATGAGAATCTTTCATAAGTACGTATACAAAACGTGTTAGAGTAGGTTAAAACTTCAGTAAATACGAGTATTTACTTACAAATAAAATAAAAAGATGTAGTCCAACATACGTAAGTTTGATCTAAGTAGTTATACTCCAAGATCTAGTTACTATCTGAATTCTAAGTTTAATCAGACTTTTAAAATCACAGCAAGTTAATCACCTATAACTTTAATAATTCTTATTTGCGTAGTATTCAGAAAAACCTTAATTAATTATTTAAAACAATTAACATAATTATACTTCAATATTTTGTTCTTAACACGTATTAAAAGTTAAATAAAATTAAATGAGATCTTTAAAGAACTTTTCATAGTATTTTGGTACTATGTTTGTCTCTACCAAATTCAAAAGATCGCGCTGCTTGCGTTCTGTAACAGCTATCTTCGAGGTATACGCTGGTTTCAAAGCGATCTCGTTTATACTTGGAACATTACCTCGACCTCGACGTAAGTTCTTTCTATTTGGTTCTGATACAGCTTTGGTCTCTTCCCAGTTTTCAGTCTTGTATGTTGTTCGATATTGATAATTAGCGCAATTTTTATTAAACTTAATACTCATAATCTCGCTTACTTTAATTGCATCCCCGTTAACATTTTTACTGATGTTAAAGTTTATGTTATCTGTCAAAGTCTTAAGATCGAAAAAATCGCTGTAGTTCATTTCTCTCACCAAAAATGGTTTCCCTGTCTTCTTCGCTCCTCGTATTATAGATATGTATTGTTCAGGAATATAGATAGGCCCTGATTTTTTGGCCCTAGTGATGGCTTTTTCGATTACTGAATGCGCTGTGTCGCCTTCATTTTGTGTATGTCCACGTATCAAGAAGTTATGTTGTATTGAATTTATGTTTAATGTTGTAATCGCAAAGTAGTACATTGCAAATACGAATCGGTTTTTCTGCTGACCACAGCAATTATCTGAATAAAAAATTACGTCACAGCCAGGATATTTATTAGCGACTTCTACTAAATATAAATACACACAAGATCCTATTTCAATAGATCCCCTGTTGCCCAAGCCTTCATGCCAAAAATAGCATGTAGTTTCTCGCTCTTTTGCATTGGAAACCGTAAAATTGTAGCAATTTAGCCTAGACTTATAAAAAAAAGCCGATGAATTGCCTAAAGGGCATGGCAAGACGGCTTGTAAGTCGTAGGTACACACGACCTTTGTGCTTTGAGGATCTTGACATTCTTTCATATCTCTATCTTTTTCAATTCTACTCAAGCTCTTTTCTTCTTGGTGAACCTTGTAGCTAACATATAATTTTACTTTTTCTTCTTCTGGTGCATTTTCGTATGCAACGCATTGGTCACAAAGGTCTTTCTTCGGTCTAAAAAAGCCAATATTAAAATCATGATTAAAAATGCGCTGATAGGCGTCGTAATTAACAGCTGGCTTATTATTTTGTTTCTGAACTTCATTATAGTTTCTGTGCAATTCTGCGATAGTTAAACCACCGTCAATAAAAAGCCTACTTGTGTTTGCCCTAAGATAGTGACTTTCTACTTTCGGAATAGATTCAATGTGATCTTTGACGGCTTTTATAATTTCATTGTCCAATTTGCAATGATTTGCGTGTTTCCCTCGCTGGTCTTCGGGAATGATACCGTCATTGAGTTTTTTAGCATCAATAACAGTCCGTATAGTTCTTGGTGAAATACCCAAAGTGTTAATTAAAAATGTTTTGCAAACCCGGAATGTTTTACCTTCATTGAGTAAATAAAATGCAGAGTTACTTTGTCTCGGGTAACGCCTATTTGTTTTTATACGGCGGCTTGCAATTTCGAGTGGTCTGATACAAGAATTCAAAAAATGACGATGCCTATCTACGCTGCCTAGCTCCCAATAAGAATTGAATATTTGAATTCTTTTTTCTTGAGTAAAATGAGATGAACAAGCCAGCCGACACTTATCTGTACAAGAGGGACCAATTTTTCTAGCCTGAACTGTTTTGCCAGTTGTAATTGATCGATATTCACAACCAGAATTTTTTAATTTTTTTGCAATATTTTTCTTCCAGTTATTAGGATTACGAGTACGTTTTCTTCCCCTTTTTTTCGGTGATAATTTTGGTTCTTGGTCATTAACAGCTTCATTTTCAAGGGTTCTATCACTAGATGAACTACTAGAACGGGAGGAACTACTGGTGGAAGAAGACGAACTAGATGAGGGCTTGAAATCATCACCAGAATCAGTACCAGAGAAGTCACCAGTTGGAGACTCATATTGTTGTTCTACTGGTGAATTTCCGTCATCAATAATAGCATTACTAGTTGGGGAGTTTAAAGTTTGTAAAACAGAGTTACTGCTATCTTGCTTGGTATTAGAAGGTGAAACTGAAGCTTCGGGTTCATCCCTTGCAATAGGTGATGTGGGACGTGTCAGTAATACCAGTTTTTTCCCCCGAGACAGCATTTTATTTGATCCAAGAAACAACTGAAAATAATTATAAAGTATCGAAATAAATAAATTGTACCTACAATTACCCCAATTAGTTATCCCCAAACTAATCTTAGCTTAAATAAATAAATATCCGACATAATTACAAACAATAATAACACAAGAATTGGAGGAACAAAGTCATTTATCAACAAGGGTCATTGTAGTTACAAAACTAAACTTTCAAAGATATTCAAATGTTGGGGAAATAATGTCACAACTGTATCTTAGGTCACTATTGCTCTAGAATCAAAAAAATGTTATGTCACAATTACCTTAGTAACGGTGTAGCTCCAAGACACACTTGCACTTGCGGGGGGACCGCGCACAACTGACCAATAAAACGATGTTGCTCCCAGCGTCACCGTAATTCGCGCCAAAACGACAATGACACTCACGCCCTCCTACGGAAACTATGTGTACTACGAAAGTAACGTTATCGCACCAAGTAAAGGGGTGCTTTAGGACAATAATTACATATTTAACTCATTATTGCAATTTTTGCATAAGTGACAGTCTTGCACCGAGGGTGCGATATGGGACAACACTTTGTGTGATTCACTAATTGTTGTTCTCATTGTCAGTTTGGGTGTTTTTTGTGTCTCTTTAATTTATCTATGTAAAGTCCTCTGCGACACAGGATATATTTCTAGTGAGGCATAACGATAAAGGATTTCGATTTCCAGATTGGAATTCTATTATTTTATTGTTTTTTTTTTATGATAGAGGCGGCAAACGGGTCACCTGATGGAGAGTGACTATCGCCGCCCATGAACGTCTGCAACACAACGGTCTTTTAGGCCTAAATTTTATTTTGACATTACTAAAAGTTATACACGCGAATATTGTTACTAAAAAATTAAATTAATGAAAAATTAATAAACTCTGCATAAACAACATTTTTTATATTATATAGATAAACAAAGTGTTGTTCAAAGATTAATTTAGTGTTAAACTAACTTCCTACAAAAAGTCTGGACAAGCCGTGGTGACAAAAAAGTTTTTTCCTATACTATTCCATTATCTATACAAATAAATACAATTTACGTGTCTGTTTGTAATGTCAAAATAATAGGCTTATTCATGCTCACACGGTTATTTGCATGATACCTATGCCTATCTATACGAATAAATAAAATTGAAGTGTTTGTTTGTAATTCCAAAATTATAGGTTTTTTTATGCTCACACGGTTATTTGCGTGATACCTAGGAATGCCTAAAAACCAGTTTAGTTTTTTTTTGTCTGTCTGTCTATCTGTTTGTTCGGGTAATCTTCTAAACGGCTGGATCGATTTTGATAATATTTTACTACCTACTTAGGCTATTTTTCTTCTCAAAAAATCGTTTATAATTTGCCCGGTCGGGAATCGAACCCACTAAGGCAACGCTTTCAAATTCCACGCGAACAAAGTCGCGGGTACCAGGTAATTCAAAGTAAATTAGTATTTCATTACGAAGTAAGAGCTGAAATAAAATAAATCTGTTGAAAAACAAGGGACGACCACAATCCACCACCATCTTAAATTACAACTGTTCTGAATATTTTCAAGTGCTTGTCTTGATAGTTTTTAAAATTAATATACAAAAGCTTTTTCAGGCAATTTCTTTCTGTTGAAGTATTGTTACAGTTTATCCAAAAATATAAAGAACTAAGAGTTAGTCGACTCTATTTATATGTCGTTTCTAATGTTATGTTTAGAACATGCACCAGAATAAGACATGAGCTAGACAAGTTGAGTAACTTATCCACTTTCTGTTCGGTTCTGTAAAACCTAAATAAATGTAGTCCTACATTCTTAGAATACGAAACGTCATTTGGTAGCACTAAGCTAATTTATAATAAAGTCTACTTTAGAGAATTTTTTAACAATAGAATTTAAACCGTTGTCATTTGGAGAATAAAACTTAGCGATATTGTAAAAGATAACAGTTACTACAAACATTCAGACAATTGCCGTACCAACTAATTTTATTAATTCAAATGCGATCTTGTTAGTTTTTTTTATGTTAGATGGAGCAGACGAGGAGACGGGTCACCTGATGAAAACTGACGTCGTGAATGTCTGCAACTCAGGAGTCACAAAGGCGTTGCAGGCCTTTTAGGAAGGAGTACGCTCTTTTCTTGAAGGTCGTATCAGTCTGGAAATACTGCAGACAATAATCCGTTCCACAGATTGGTTGTGCGGGGCAGAAAGTGTCTCGAAGTGTCGCACAGTAGTGGAGCGCCAACTATTCAGGTGATGAGGGTGAAAACTTTGCCGTGTGGAACGATGGCGGAAAGTTGCGGCTGGTTTAAGTCCGAAAAATTCCTGGGAGCATTCTCCATGATATGTGCGATAGAGAATGCAGAGTGAAGCAACATCTCTATGTAACGCCAAGGGATCGAGCTGATCGGATAAAAATATATTGACACTTTGATCAGTCGTACTTGTCTGATCCTGACCAATAATATTGCCTTTGCCCTTTTCTATTTAGTTGTTAGTTTGTTAGGTTTTTACGTATTAACTTTGCAAACAATCATTGTGAATGTTTTCATACACACTATAAGAAATCTCGAGCCAAGTCAACAGTAACATTAACATTTAGTATCAGGTACTTGTGTAACACTAGCTCCTATTCTGCTATCTTTTCTCTCTAATATTAGTTCAGAGATAACTTTAAATATGTTTTACCCGTTTAAACGTAACACGACGATACCTTGATCAGTCGTACTTATCTGATCCTGACCAATAATATTGCTTTTGCCCTTCTCTTTTTTTAACAAGACCTTTAAAGTTCAAACAGTATAGCAAGACAATGTTATATCAACCTATAGAATCTCGCAATTACACTCTGCTTACTTAATTTTGCCCAACCTTTTATAGTAACTTGTTAGATCTTAGTTAAAGGTTATCTTAACACACGACATTATATAGTTTTTGTACCTCTTGATCCTTTATAATAGACCATTAAGGTCCTAAATTCAAAACTTTATGAACGATAAAATCTCTTACGAGTCCTAATAACCTTAATGGATGATGAACATTCACTCATGGTCCATAAGGGGCTTTAACTTGGAGAAAACTTGTTATCGCACTTTCTGCCAGGGGCCGAACTCCGATGCACACTCACTTGTTACAAAGTTAGATAAAAAGTTTTGCTGGAACTTCGTAGTTGCGTCTGTAGGGAAGTCTATTTACCGGTTTCCTTGTCATTGTTGCAACATGGTTAAAAGGTTTGGACTTGCTGTAAATACCCAATTTGACTTACAGGTATATATTGACTTGCTTGAGCTGTTGCTTTCATTTTCTAATCTATCCGTAAAAGTATTTATTAAGAGCTGTATACAGGTATTTTTTTAGAGAATATTATAATTTTGGTGTAAGTAATGTCCATTTCCCTTTAGTGTACCCAAAATCTTCCCATCTAATCTTTAAAGTGCCCTATAGGCGACAATAGACTTGCTCCCTGTTACTTAAGTAGGATTAAAATTATAAGATATTATAAGAATAAAAAAAAAGCCGTGTGGTGTCGTGGGACACCCGATAGGAACGAAGTTGTGACGATCGAGTAAAACTGATTTGACACGATTTAAATTACAACGCCATCTATGAAAGCGGCTATTACCTACATATTAAAAACAATTAAAACAATTTAGACATTGGTAAAATCTCCTTGCGAAATGATTTCCTATCTATTCGATAGATGGCGCTGAATGTCTGACAAGATGACACGAAAATAAAGAGCAAAAAGCCAACATCACGTGGTATTCCCAGGCGGTCACCCATCGAAGTACTAACCACGCCCGATGTTGCTTAACTTCGGTGATCGGACGAGAACCGGTGTATTCAACATGGTATGGACGTTGGCGAACGTTAAAGCAAATTTAATGTATGGTATCCACAGTTAGACGTCAATTTATATTAAAAGTGTCGTTCCAAATTTTCGTACGAATTTTCGTACGTTTTCCGTCTAGCCCCCTTTCACAACGCGCGATAAGGAACTTCGTTCCAATATATGAGAACAAAATGTGAGCATATAATACGTCTCTGCTTATCCCTATGTGAATATAGTTGTGAGTATATGTATCTTGCAATAAGCTGAGAGAGCTACTGCATAATTTTTTTTTGTACTGTCTGTTATTGTTATTGTCGGTTATGTCGGTTACTCGAACCGTACGCCGTCTCCAGGTATATACCAGTAGCCGTGGAGCCAAGTAAACCCTAGAAAGGAAAGCCGTAGCCGTGGAACTCGGGCCGTACGTATGCAGGTAGCTATTACATACCTTAAATTATACTATAAATAAGTATATAGGCGTATTAATAGTAAACAATATTACAGTACGTAAGGCGTAAACAGTATTACATTTATTGAGAAGGCTAAACAAATAGCTCAAAGCTTTGAAGTATGTATTTCATCAAAGAACTCGCTAAAACTCATTTACACACGCACAATGTATAAGGCTAAGTCATTTTAATTGACTTATTGCACCCGAACAAAATACCGTGAACAAAATTCCATTTCATTTTTACGATGTAGAAGGAAGAAAATTTACATTGTTATTTCTTAACCCGAAAGAGTTTTAGCGCCGAATTAATATGGGCACAGGTATATGTGATCCCATCATACACATAACAAATAAAAATGAAAGCCTCGCAACGCAGCTTTGTAAGAATTAAATTAATAATAATAATAATATTCTACTAGATACACACAATGCCATCTAGTCCCAAACTAAGCAAAGATTGTACTAAGGCTACTAGGCAACTGATATAAATACATATGTATATACTTTTTTTTGTATATACATACTCACATTAAATGTTCATCATCATCATCATCATCATCAACAGCCTTTAATAGTCCACTGCTGGACATAAGCCTCTCCTTAGAAAGGAGGTTAAATGTTAAATGTTCATGCACACACATATTTGACTTGAGTGTGAATCGAACCCGCGACCCTTTGAATAGCAGTCCGTTACACAAACTACTACGCC